ATATTCTTTTCAGATCAACACTAAGAAGAAGGGGAATCAAGAGGGTTGAGAAGAAAGAAAGCTCTGAAATAAAAACTGACCCTCTGAATGTCCCCTACCAGGCTTAAATGACTGAGCCTTTGTATCCTGCCTAGCTTTGTCACGGAAAGTGGACTCTTTGTGAAAGGGCATGACATCAGGAGGCGATTCTCTGGAGCTGGCATAGACCCTGAACAGCAAATAGCTGAAGTGCCCTCCCAGAGCTAGGAAACAAGTCCTTCCCTGATGGTGATCTGGGCAGTGCATTTCTGTTTCTACTTCCCGTGGATTGCTATGTCTTTGGTCAAATGTGAAGCAGAGCCTTGCCCAGCTGTGATTACTGGTAGTTGAAGTAGCCAACTATTAGTTCTTTGCCCATATATCAGCATTAACAAGCCAATATGATCCTGTCACCTTGATTATATGGGTGTAAAAACCTGGGCTGCATAATAATGTCATAATTACATGTGCCTTGGAATTAAGTGCTGGACATAGCTTATGTCTGAAAAAAAGAAAATGTACTGGAGTATAAGACAAGAAAAAAAATTACCTAAGTGTACAAATTGCTTTTTTTTTCTTGATTGCTGTATATGACATACTTAGTCATAATGGTGACATAGTACCAGATTTTCTATTTTCAAGAGTGATCTATATCTTGGCTATGACACCCCAAACCCAAACAAATAAAAAACAAAAACAGATAAGTTAGATTTCAAAATTAAAAATTTGCATATCAAAAGATACTACCAAGAAAGTGGAAAGACAACTCACAAAGTAGGAAGAAATATTTGCAAATTGTACATCTAGCAAGGGTCTAGTATTTATTTAAAAATTTTTTTTGCAATACTAGATATTGAACCCAGGGGTGCTCTACACTGAACTACACCCCCAACCCCTTTTATTTTTTATTTTGAAACAGGGTTTCACTAAGTTGCTGAGGCTGGCCTTGTGATCTTCCTGCCTCAGCCTCCCAAGTCACTGGGATTGCCATATGCCTGGCCTACGTGAAGAAATTTTAGGACTCAATAACGAAAAGTCAAGCAACTTAATTAAAATGTAGGCAAAAGATTGGAATAGACATTTCTCCAGAGAAGATATGCAACTGTCCAACAAGCACATGAAATATTCAACACCATTAGCCATCAGGGAAATACAAATCAAAACCACAATAAGATTTCACTTCACACACACTAGGATGACTATAATCAAAAGGAGAGAACTGAAAGCAAGGATGTGGAGGAATCAGAGCCTTCATACATTGCTGATGGGAATGTAAAATTGTACAGCTGCTTTGGAAAACAGTTTCAGTTTCTCAAAAAGTTAAACACAGTTACCATTTGACCCAGCAATTCTACTACTTCTTTCTATTTCACATACTCATGTGAAATAGAAACCTATGTCTATACAAACATTTGTACAAGAATGAAAACAGCATTATTCATAATAGCAAAAAGTCCATTGACTAGTGAAGGGGTAAACAAAATGTGGTATACCATATAAGGAATATTATTCAACCATGAGAAGGAATGAAGTACTAATACATGATATAAAGTGTATCTTGAAAACATCATGCTGGTGCTAGGATTGTGGCTCAGTGGTAGAGGGCTTGCCTAACATGTGCAAGGCCCTGGGTTCGATCCTCAGCACCACATACAAATAAAGATGTTGTGTCTGCCGAAAACTAAAAAATAAATTTAAAAAAAAAAGGAAACATCATGTTAAGTGAAAGAAGCCAGACACAAAAAAGGCCATATTTGTATGATTCCATTTATATGAAATATCTAGAATAGGCCAATACATAGAGATGGGAAGTATATTGATAGTTTCCAGAAGATGGCAGGGAGAGGAAAACTGGCAGTGATAGCCATGGGATTTCTCCTGGGGGTGATGAAATGTTCTAAAATGAGATGATGGTGGTACAATTTTGTGAATACACTAAGACCCCCTGAATTTTTAGTTGTAGATGGACACAATACCTTTATATATATATATATATATATATATATATATATATATATATATATATATATATATATATTAGTTGTTGATCTTTATTTTATTTTATTTATTTATACGTGGTGCTGAGAATCGAACCCAGTGCCTCATACATTCTGGGCAAGTGCGCTACCACTGAACCCCAGCCTCAGCCCCTTATTTACTTATTTTTATGTGGTGCTGAGGATCAAATCCAGTACCTCATTTGTGTGAGACAAGCATTTTACCACTGGGCCACAATCCCAGCTCCTGAATTGTTCTCTTTAAAAGGGTAAAAGTGGGGCTGGGAAGGTAGTTCAATGCTTACCTAGCATGCACAAGACCCTGAGTTTGATCCCTAGTTCTGCCAAAAAAATAAAAAATAAATAAAATGAAAGGAATAATATTTCAATTGTATTTCAATTAAAATAAAGCTCCCCCCATGAAAAAGATTCATCTATAGATCTTGATAATTGATTGAAATTTCAACTGAGAGTTCCAGAATAAGATTTTTTTATTTTTAAAATTTATTTATTTATTTTAATTAGGTATATATGACAGCAGAGTGCATTTTGTAGACAATTGCAGCACAACTTTTCATTTCTCTGATTGTACACGATGTAGCATCACACTATATGTGCAGTCATACATGTACCTAGGGTAATAATGTCCATCACATTCCACCATCTTTCCTGCCCCCATACCCCTCCCCTCCCCTTCCACCTCTTTGTCCATTGAAAGTTCCTTCATTTTCCCCATGCCCTCCCCCATTATGGATCAGTATCCACTTATCACAGAGAACATTCAGCCTTTGGTTTTTTGGAATTGGCTTACTTCACTTATACATGATATTCTCCAACTCCATTCATTTACCTGCAAATGCCATAATTTTATTGTCTTTTAATGCTGAGTAATATTCCATTGTGTGTATGTACCACAGTTTCTTTATCCCTTCATCTATTGAGGGGCATTTAGGTTGCTTCCACAGTTTAGCAATTGTGAATTGAGCTGCTACAAACATTGATGTGGCTGCATTACTATAGTATGCTATACTATATTCTTTGGGTACAGACCAAGGAATGGGATAGCTGGGTCAAATGGTGATTCCATTCCAAGTTTTCTAAGGAACCTCCATAGTGCTTTCCAGATTGGTTGTACCAGTTCGCAGTCCCTCCAGCAATGTATGAGTATGCCTTTTCCCCCACATCCTCGCCAACACTTGTTATTTCAGAATAAGTTTCTGTCTTGAGGGATTCAGTAAGAATGCCAATGCCAAAGATTGGGAAGGCACCAGAAGGAATATTTGGGGAAGAAAGACAGTGAGTTTGGTTCAGAAAATACTGAATTTGTATTTGTGCCTCTGTGGGGCACTCTTTGGGACTAATCAATAAATGTAGATATGGACATCAAAAGAGACATCAGAGTTAAGAAATTTCAATCTAGGGTCATCCGGATTTAGGTGACAGCTAAAACACAGGAAAAGGTGTAGTGGTAGCACTTACCAAAGAGTTTGGACTGTCGGGGATTTGATTGAACCAAGAAATATGTTGAAGGAAAAAAAAAAAGAACCTGTGAATATGGACAGGAACACAAGTGTTGGAGGAAGAAGAGAAGGGTGGAGCAGGGCCTTGGACACCTTTGGAGGCTTGTGAAAGGAGCCTGAACCCAAATTACAGCCTACTGACCACATTTGCCTTTTCTGCAGGGATTCAGGTTACAACCAGCAGCTTTTATTCACCTTGTTTTTTTTTGGTTTGTTTTTTTTCTGCAGTATTACTGCAATAGGGACCAGCAAACAAAGTTTAAGAGCTTTTGTTATTTTGAGAACAGTTCTGTAAAGTCCAATGGTGGAAGAGTATTTTGTGCTTACAATAGGACATTTCAGTTCAAGGCAACGCAGAAATAGGAAGCATCTTAGAGCCCCAAAGGGACCCAATGGCTGGTTCCCAGGAGGCTAGTTTTATTCATGCTGTTGCTCACTCACATTCACTTTTCTTAGTAGCTTTCTGTTGCCAGAGATTGAGAACAGAAAGTAGCAGAACAGCACATTGTTTGAAGGAGACACAAGCCTTTGAAACTATCTTAATTCTTGCACAATATTGCCAGAGAGAATTTCCCTAAACAAATGCAAAACATTTTTTTTCATCCAAGTTCCCCCATAAAACCCCAGATCCCAGAATCCTACAACTAAAAGTATTGATTAAGGATGTGCAAAAAACTGGGCTGGGGTTGTGGCTCAGTGGTAGAGCACTTGCCTAGCATGTGTGAGACACTGGTTTCAATTCTCAGTACATATAAATAAATAGAAGTCCATCAACAACTAAAAAAAATATTTAAAAATAAGGATATGCAAAAAGTCTCTAGGCATGGTGGTATAAGCCTGTAATCTCAGCAACTCAGGAGGCTGTGAGTGTAGGATCACAAGTTTGAGGCCAGCCTCAGAAACTTAGTAACATCCTGTCTCAAAAAAAGAAAAAGTGTATCAGTGGTTAAGCACCCCTGGGGTCAATCCCTGGTACAAAAAAAAAGAGGGGAGATATGAAAAACACTTTTGTACAAATGTTACAACCTAACAGAATTCCTAATTGATTATTCTTAATATCAGTTTCCAGGTGCCATGAATAGGATTGAGTTTTGGGTTTCTTTTTATTTTTAAAGTTATTTCCCTAATCATGGTTTTAAAAAACATTGGATGACCTTAGGATTTAGAAATACTCTCCATGAAATAGATCCTGATTAGGTGTTCTCTTTTTACAAATGAGGAAATCAAGGCAGAAGGAGGCTGGTTTGAAATGGTGAATCAGTGCAGACTACTGATTAGAATGCTGTGAAGTGTAATCCCAAAGTCTGTTCCCAGCATCTCTTCCTGTAGCTGGAGATTGTTGAATTGGTGTTCAAGTGTTGACAACAGAACTAGCACTTACCCTTCCTCCAGTATCTTTCTATAGGACATCCTCGCCTTTAAAGTCCAGTCAGAGCTTCATTGTATTCTTTTTCTTTTAACACAGACTCAAACAAAGGACTTTTTATTCCCTTTCCCAACCGGGAAATAAAGGATTCCCTAACCAGCACTCCTGCAACCCAGGGCAATGGTATACCAGGTCAGAAATCAGACACTTTCCCACTGGGGCCACAGGTAATGTATTCACTCCCCTACTGATCAGTTGACTAACCAATGATTAATACTAGTAATTCAGTGGACTCTCACTGAGTTATTTATGAAGGCCTAAGAGGCCTTGTTTGAAAAAAGGCACTTTGGATCCTCTAAAAGAGAATGGCAAGACAGGGTGTAGAATACTTTTCTCTATTAATTTCAATCTCCATTTTCTTTATTCTCACTAACCTGTTATCAAATGTTATATATTTATGTATGAAACTTTAGTACATTTTATTCCAGGTATTTTAGTTCTCAAACAGGATGCAACTGTTATATCTTTAGGCTGGTCATAAAATTTCTCCTCTCTATCCAATTTCTCCATCTCCTGTTCTGGTTGCCTCTTAACATTTTCTACCTTTACCTTTTAATTATAGAGTCTTCCATTTCAGGAGTGGCTTTCCCAGAGCTGCTTCTTCCATGTAACAGGAAAAAAAAAAAAAAAGAAACAAAAGTTAAGGGGTGAAGACGGCACAGGAGTGATGGACAATGGGAAGGATGAAATAATGCAAAACTTGGGAAGAATTAAAAATAACAAGTTTTTAGTGAAAATTTTGACGAGAAAAAGTCATGCAACCATTATATAAGATTTATTGTGGGAGTGAATATGATACAAAGAGCAGAATTGACTACTGTATGTTCAACTTCTCCCTTTGCCTTTTCTTTGATAAATTTGTATGAGCAATGAAATTGTAGAAAATAACCAGAGGGAAAAGAAGCAAAGACTCTGAATCATGTACAATTTGGATGATCAAGACTGTACTATTAAAGTTAGTAAGATTTTTTTTCAGTTTGAGTATACAATATTTTATTTTAAAAAGAAATAATAATTATGATTAAAATTATTATTATATTATTGTTATTATTAAATAATAATTTTAAATAAAGCACTTAATTGATTTCCTTGTTCTTAAAGATTCTACTTGGGTGACTTAGAAAAAAATCACTCTTACCATTTTTAAAAATATAAGGAAATGGAGAAAAGGATACTCCAATCTACATTTAAAGTTAGAACTTCTTAGATTAAAAAAAAAAAAACAAACCTCTCTTCTTGGAGAGGAAAAGGAAATTGCTGTAATCCTTTTAGTTTAACAAACAAGGAAGTGGAACTTCTTTCTCTGCCTGGTTACCAAAAAGACACTAAATATACTTCAAGAACCTTTTTTTGAAACCAAACCTTAGGTGGCTTCTTTTTTTTGCTTTAGCCCTTACCTAGTTATGCTTAAGATTAATTTCCAGTCTGTTAAAACTTCTATTAGTTCCTGTGGTTGATACTCAGCTTTACCAAAAGGTAAAATAAATATGGGAATCCTTTAAATAGAGGGGAAAAAAAGAAAAAGTGGCCTCATCTAATTTCTATGCTGAGTTATCTGAAGCAGAGAAAATATAGTATTTCACCTTTTGGAATGTCCTTTATCTTCTAAGATATTTTATATTTTCAAGGAGTCTCCTTACCTGCTTCAAAGAAACTCTGGCATCTCCTGTATTCTGACTGTTTTTAAAATAGGCTTGACCTTTCCTTGAAGGATGGTTTCTCTGCTTCCATGGATGAACATCCTTGCTAATAGGAAAGTACTCTGAACCCCTCGTCTAATGAGCTTATGTCTGAATGCTGGTATATGTCCTTCTTTCTAAACTTTCAAACTTCTTTTAGATGCAGGAAGTGACAAGAAGGGAGATGCCAAGTGACAGCCACCAGAATGATGGTAAATATTTTGCTTGTTGAGTATTTTTCCCCACACAGATGAAATTTAAGAAATGATGATATCACAGTCCTGAGGCCCTGTTTAGTCAACTAACTCTTTTCTGCTTTTCTGAGGATTGCCTTGAATATTTAGTGACATGAGGTTTTGATTTTTTGCTTGAAGAGTGGATATTCTGGCCTCCTTTATTCTTTTTATATTGGCTAACTATTTTGTTACTTTTTTCTTGCATTCTTCTGGATTTGTTATTATTCTATTCATTCACCACCACTACCACCATTAGTTTATAAGTTACACACAGTTTCTATACTTTTAATACTATTCCCAAAACAACAATATGTGTTCTTAACTTTTACAATTTTAAAATTAATCAATATCTTAAGTCTTCTCCTGGATAATTTATAGACCCTAAAGTCATTTTTTCCATTTACCCTCCTGATATATGTTATTCTTATGGATTTTAATTCTTGAAGGGTGATTTTGTTGAGTATAGACTTCTAGATTGTCAGTTGTTTCTTTCAGAATATTGAAGAATAGTTGAGAAGTTAGCTGGAAATCTATCACTCCTGCAAAGATAATCTTTTTTTTTTTAAACCTCTGGTTGCTTTTAGAATTTTCAGTTGTCTTTAGTTTTCTGAAATTTCATTGTGATGTCTGAATTTTTTTTTTTTTTTTGAACCTGGGATTGGACCTAGGGGTACTTAACCACGGAGCCATATCCCATGCCCCCTTTTTTATAATTTTTATTTTGAGATGGTCTCACTAAGTTGCTTAGAGCCTCACTAAGTTGCTGAGGCTGGCTTTGAACAGCCTCCCTGGGATTACAGGCAGGTACCACCACACCCAGCTTGGGGTTTTGTTTATTTCTTCTGTTTGGTATTTATTATACTTCTCATATCTGTGAATTGTGTCTCATTATTTCTGTAAAGCACTTTGAATACTGTTTGTGCCCCCATTCTTTTGTGTCTTTTATCTTTCTGGAATTCTTAGTTAAATAAATATATGTCAGAGATTTTCATTTTGTCCTCTTTGTGTCATTATATTTTTCATCTTTTTTTGACTGGTCTACACTCTGTTTAATTCCTTCTGACCAATCTTACATTCTCTTCAACTATATCTAATCTACTATTAAACCTGTCTGCTGAATTCTTCATTCCAATTTTGTTGTTGTTGTTCTATATGCTTTTTCAAGTCCTAAGAAGAAAATCCAGACTTTTTTTTAGATGTACATGACAGTAGAGTGAAGACTTCTTTTATATTTCTTTAGACATGACAAGCATGACTGTTTTATAGGCTATAACTGCTTTTTATAATGTTTGATTTGGGGGAGGTCTGTGTTTGTTTGTTTCTACTGGTTTTTACTCATATTGTCTTGCTTCCTCTTTGTTTGTTTTGGCTCTTTGTTGGTTATTTTAATAATTATTTTAAACTAACAATTAATTATTAGTCTTAAATGAGTGTATCTTTGCTAGAACAGATTTTCATTTGCTTCTACCAGGCACCCAAAACACTATCAGTCACCTTGATTCCAGCTTAAGCTTTGAGGTTCTCTGAACTACCAGATGATGCAAACTTGTATTACCAGTCATTACAAGAGCTAGTTTATTTCCAGTTTACTTTTATTCTGAATATTGTATCCTCCCCAGAGTTCTTTTTTAGAGTGTTGTGTGTATGCATGTGCATGTGCTTGTGTGCATGGGTGTGTGTGTGTTTTGCAGATAGGGTGTTATTAAATACCCCACTTTGAGTGGACCTTAGTCTTGTACTTCTGTCCCTTTTATCTTAAAAAGGGGCTTTCCATGCTAGACTTACCAAGGAGTTCCTGTTGTTCCTAGATTTTCCTACCTTCTTAGCTTTTAGAAGCTTTTAAGCATATGTATCATTCTACTTCTTTAAATTCTTAAATGGAATGATAGTCTGAATTAGCTAATTTGTTATTACTTGAAACAGAAGTCCCTTGTTCCTATATATATTTTTTAAACAGAGAGAGAGAGAGAGAGAGAGAGAGAGAGAGAGAGAGAGAGAGAGAGAATTTTAATATTTATTGTTTAGTTTTCGGCGGACACAACATCTTTATTTGTATGTGGTGCTGAGGATCGAACCCGGGCCGCACGCATGCCAGGCGAGCGCGCTACCGCTTGAGCCACATCCCCAGCCCCCTTGTTCCTATATTCTTTTTGACACTTAATGATATTGTTCTATGACCTTTTCCATACGGTGCTTGGTAAAACATTGATGTTCTTATAGGTACTTAAGAACATCAGAGTTGGAAGAGTTACTGTGACTAACTCAGATACAGTATTTTTTTTGTTTTGTAAGGAATCACTTTAATCACATGAAGCTCTTAAAACAGCAAAGAGCACAAGGCTTTCTCTCTCTTTTTTTTTTTTTTTTTTGGATGTTCTACCTGCCCGCTACGACTTTTGGAGATGACATATATACCTATCTGAGAGAAATATACCTGCGTTAGTACCTAAATCAGAGATTTTCATAGGTTTTGTATTCCCTGCCATTTAATTGGATAGTGGTCCCCAAGAATTAACCCAGTACCTCTGGATGGAGTTTGGGAATAAGAGTTGGCTTAGCTTTATTGCAAGGAGTCTATGAAATCATAGACTAATTATTATCTGAAGACTCAATACATAAAATCACAATTATTATCATGTAGTGGTACATAAAAATTTTTATGTGAAATTACTGTTTAGAAAACTCTGATCTGATAGTTTTAGGAGGAAATTCCTAGGAGATTTGATTGATGTGAAATTTATCTCCTGAATGTTCATATATTCTTTACTGGTTTCATAAAAATTCCCACATTTTTTGTTGTCCATGTGGAAATTCTCTTGTAACTTTATGCTACCATTTATCAAAATTATTAACCACCTTGTCCAAAAATTTTTTCTGGCTCAATGAACAGAGGCACCCCATGAAGGATTCTCATTGTGTGTGTTTTTTCCCCTCTTGGTGGTAATTAGAATTCAGACACTACTCGCCTCATCAGTCTACAGTCCAATCCCCAGAGAAGATGACTAGAGATGGGTACCGAATATCTTTTTTGGACAATAAATCTTCAAGTTCTTCTCCAGAAAAGGACTTGACAACAAAACCTGATACTTATCAGCTTTCTCATGATGCCTCATTGGGTAAACGCCTGGATGTGGGTGATTCTAGCCAGATCCATCCCTATCAGATACCTTCTGATGTTGGTCTGGAAAATTATGATGGTCATTATTCTCAAACTCGACCCCTGCATGGAAGTCTTGGTAAAAGGCCTCAGAGAAACAGGAACTACCGAGAATATAGCACAAAGCTTCCAAATGACATAAAGGCCACCGTATCCCATTCCTGTGGAGATTTACTGACTTCTCTGTCAAACCCTGACTCCAGCACCGAAAGACTTTTGAAGCTTAGTTCAGGTAATAGCTTCCTGTCAGTTTACAGATCTTTTTCATAGGCATGAAGGTAGAAAGTATAACTGGAAATTTTGGAATTAATGTTTCTTAAATTGCATTAGCATTTCTTTCTTTTCTTTTCCTTTTTGACACCGGGGATTGAACTCAGGGGCACCTAACTACTGAGCCACATCCCCAGCCCTTTTTTTGTATTTTATTTAGAAACAGGGTCTCACTGAGTTACTTAGGATCTCACTAAATTACTGAGGCTGGCTTTGAACTTGCAATCCTCCTGCGTCAGCCTCTGAAGCTGCTGGGATTACAGGTGTGAGCCACAACACCTGGCACATTAACATTTCTTAAATTGTATTTCAGGGCCTCCAGTGGTCTATGGAACTTCCAGAAATCTACAGGGTAGAGTTTAACATAACAGATATGTTAGAGAAAATTTGTAGGAATGTAAGCTTCACAGCTACATATTATTTTAGTTAAGTAGCATTCCAGGATGTATTTGTAGCTGCATATAATATTCTCTGACCACAATCACTAATATTATGAGTTACCTTCAGAAGAAACTAGTTTCAGAGTAATTGATGGAGACTATTCTTTAATTATATGTCAATTTATTCAACTGTATACGTATTATATGCCAGACACTATAAGCAAAATCAAATTCCATAATTTTTTTAAAAGTCCCTACTTCCATGTAAGCTCTATAATAAAAGCAGACAATAAATCATAAACTTATAAACATGTGTCAATTTATGATAAGTGCTGTGATGAAAAATACAAGGATGAGAGCCAGGCACTGTGGTGCACTCCTGTAATCCCAGTGGCTTGGGAGGCTGAGACAGGAAGATCACAAGTTCAAAGCCAACCTCAGCAAAAAGCAAGGCACTAAGCAACTCAGTGAGACCCTGTCTCTAAATAAAATACAAAATAGGACCGGGGATGTGGCTCAGTGGTAGAGTGCCCCTGAGTTCAATCCCCAGGACCTCCCTAAAATAAATAAGTAAATAAAGACTTGAATTACGAAGTAAGAGTGTAAGCCATATAGATAAGTGAGAGGAGAACTTTCTAGTGAGACTACTACGTGCAAAGTTCCCAAGTCTGGAACATGCTTGGCATGTTCAAGAAACAACAAGGAGCCCATGTGGCTATAGTAGAGTTAAGTGAAGTGTATGGATGAAGTCAGAGAGATGGCCAAACTTTTATTCTGAGTAAGGTTAGAAGTAGTTGAAGGGCTAGGCGCAGTGGCACATGCTTGTAATCCCAGCATCTTGGGAAGCTGAGGCAGGAGGATCACAAGTTCAAATCCAGCTGCAGCAACTTGAAGAGGCCCTAAGCAACTTAGCAAGATCCTGTCTCAAAATAAAACATAAAATAGGGTTGGGGACGATGGGGTTGTGGCTCAGTGGTAGAGTGCTTGGCTAGCATATGTGAGGCACTGGGTTCAAATCTCAGCACCATGTATAAATAAATAAATAAAGGTCAATCAATAACTAATTTAAAAAAAAAGGTTGGGGAAAACATAAAAAGTGGTTCAGTGATTAAGTAGTTTAATACCCAATAGCAAATAAAAGAAGAAGAAGAAGTTGTTGAATGGTTTGTAGCAAGGAAATTATGTGATCTAACTGAATAATTACTCTAGCTGGAAAATAAAAATAAAAGAATTACTCTGGGGTTGGGATTGTGGCTCAGTGGGAGAGTGCTCGCCTAGCATGCACTGGGTTTGATCCTCAGAACCACATAAATGTAAAATAAAGATATTGTGTCCACTTAAACCTAAAAAATGAATGTTAAAAAAAAAAAAGAATTACTCTGTCTGGGCAGGTGGAAGACACCTACAATCCCAGCTACTCCAAAGGTTAGGCAAATTTGAGGGCAGGTTAGGCCACATAGCAAGACCCTGTCCCAAAATAAAAATTTTTAAAGGGCTGGAGATGTAACTCGGTGGCATAGCATTTGCCTAGCATGTGTGAGACCCTGAGTTAAATTTCTAGTACCAAAAAAAGAAAAGAATGACTCTGGAGGTTGTATAGAGAATAGACTGTGGGAGGGGGGCAAGGATGAAAATTCTTTTAACCATTTAAAAGGTTATAGTCCAGATAAGAGTTGGTGGTGGCCTTGGATAGATAGAGTGGTTAAGGTGGTGAGAAGTAACAGGATGTTTTGGAAGAATGGAGTTATCATTTACTAAGATGGAAAAGAGTGGGAAAAGCAGGTTTTCAGATAAATATCAAGAGTTTGGTTTTAGATGTCTTAAGTTTGAGATGTCTACCAAAAGATCCCAGAGATGCCAACTTGACAATTGGACTTATTAGTCTGGAATTCAGGGGAAAAGATATGGCTATAAATATGAATTAGAAGGGCTGGGGATGTGGCTCAAGTGGTGACACGCTCGCCTAGCATGCGTGAGGCACTGGGTTCGTTTCTCAGCACCACATAGAAACAAAAAAATGATATTGTGTTCGCCTAAAAAACTAAAAAATTAAATATTTTTAAAAAATATGAATTAGGGAATTATAAGTGTTTTGGTGGCATTAAAACTGTGAAACTAGATGAGAAACTAGATGCAAGAGAGAAGGGGGACAATTACAAGTAGAAAATGCTTGGGTAGTCAAGAAGAAATAGGATCTAGTTTACCAATAGAAAGGTTGGCTTTAAATGAAGCACAGACAGTTCATCTATTGTAATAAGAAGGAGGCAGAGAATTTATGGACACAAATACAAATAAGAGTTGGTAGATTTAGTGGTGGGATCACATGGACATTTTCTTTGATTATCTCTATTTTTTCTGTGTAGATCATCACCTGAGAGAAAGGAGAGAGGATGATGGAAGTTTGAGGAAGACAAGAAATGTGAAATGATCCTCTCAGAGTATAGAAAAGTAAATTTGCCAGGGTAATATATATGAGAGCCGGACAGAACTAAGAGCCTATACAAGATAGTGATCAGGAATAAAGTATGGAAGCTCAGATGCATTTTATTCTCCAACCACATTCCACTGCTGTGGTGTAGGCTTTTGGAGCATGTGGGTTATTGGATTTAATCAGAGTTAAGATTTTACCAGGTGAAGGGAGATAGAAAGGGTCCAGAGTGTTGAGGGTATTTGCTAGGGAGTGATTATTATGATCTTTGGACATAAGAGAGTTGAAGGGCAGGTTCATCTTCCAGCCTGTTTCCTCCACAGAGCTATATGCCACCACCCATTTCAACAGTGACCCTGCTTTGCTGGTCAATGTAGAGCAACAGTTATCCAGCAACCTCAGTGATTTAACACCAGCACATGGCTCTTTCCCAAACAACTCGGCCCTGGGAAACTCTCTGCGAATGTTGCTGTTACCTCCTGGGACTTCAGAAGACCGAGAGATTCTGACCAAGAGGTCATTAAGCCCATCCAAGAGAGGATTCAAACGGAAGGACAATATCCTTGTCAACCTGAGTGCAAAGCATGGTTTCCGTGATGCTACAGGCAGTGAGGCAAGTGTTGGCTTGTTTGTGTGTGTGCAAGAAACACATCCAGTTCAAGACTAGAATGGGGTTCTGGTGGGGATGGTGTTGGTTCTGGCCAATAGTGCTAGAAGTTCAAAAGAATTTTCAGAAACTAGGCTAACGCTCTCAGGCTAAAGCCTGTGATTCTTCTATCCTTGGGAAAGTCATTTTCCCACTGCCACCATTTTCTCCTTTCTATCACAGGGGAACTATCCCTGATCTACTTCCAGAGCAAAAAAATATGGTAGGAAAATACTTTAAGAAGTGGTCAACAAGAGTTTACTAACAGGAAGGAATTCAAACAGTTCAGGGCCTCTGGGTTAGCTGAAGATCTTTATAGCATTAATTTTTATAATCTCATCATGCTTACTCATTTTTTTTCAGCCACAAATGACTTACTTGAAATAGTTTTTATAAAAAGCTTTGTTTTCACTTTCTACCTACAAATTCATATAATTCTAAATTTTTGCCAAAGTAGCAGCAAGAAGATAAATTAGGGCTGGGGTTGTGGCTCAGAGGTAGAACACTCGGCTAGCATGCATGAGGCACTGGGTTTGATCCTCAGCGCCACATAAAGTAAAATAAAGACATTGTGTCCACCTATAACTAAAAAATAAAATTAAAAAAGAAGATAAATTAGATTATCCAAGGGATTTTTAGCTAAAAATGGGCTCAGAAAATGAATGAAAAATCAAGAACATTCCCACATATGCAATATAGTTCATCTTTACAAAATCAAAATGTAATAGTATATATAATAAAACTTCAACACTTACTAAGAAGTTTGGCCCTGCAAGCTCATCCCACATTCATTCCTCACAGAAAATGCCCTCCACTCCCCTCTCTTCTCTGTTTGAATGCTAACTTTTCTCCAGATCTTAACTGATAATCATGAAGACTTCTCTCTTTCGTTATAGGAACCACAATCCTTAGGATCCTCTCTGAACATTTGTCAGTTAATCATTTACTGTCCTGTAAGGGAACAAAATATTTGATCAAGAACTGCTATTTCTAGTCATTTGTATTTTCAATTGTTGGAAATCTTTTTTTACATATTTGGGATGAGTTTATGAGAGTTTTTTGGTCGTTTTTTGTTTGGTTGGATTTTTTTTTTTTTTTTTTTGACTCTTCCCATTCAGTTTACAGAACTTTGGAGGTGATTATAATTTTTGTGTACCAAAGGGGGCAGTCTTGTAATACTTTTTTTAAGCTTATGCTAGCCCTTCCCCTCCCTCCCTCCCTCCCTCCCCTCTCTCTCTCTCTCTCTCTCTCTCTCTCTCTCTCTCTCCTCTCTCCTTCCCCATTCTCTGCCACCAATGCCCATTTTATCAGACAAAACACTGAGAGTTAATGTATTTAGGGTAAAGGCACAGTATCACTTAGGATATTTGGGATGCCACATTAGTAAGAAGTTTTAGGAAAAAAATTCACCTCTACTTTATATTACATTGTTAAACTCTCAATGCAGGGCTGGGATTGTGGCTCAGTGGTAGAGCACTCCTCTAGCAAGTGTGGGGCTCTGGGTTCCATCCTCAGCACCACATAAAAATAAATAAACAAAGGTATTGTGTCCAACTACAACTAAAAAATAAATATTAAAAAAAATCTCAATGCACTTTTCTGGACTACACACTCCCTTTCCTGTCAGACATTAGGTGTTTTTTATTTTTTAATATGCAAAGTTTTCAAATTGCTGCTTGAATATAAATATAAAGCCAGACCTTTTTTTTTTAAGGTGCCGGGGATGAAATCCAGGGCCTTACACATACCAGGCAAATGCCCTACCATTGAGTCTTAGCTCCATCCCCTGAATATAAATACAAAAGAAATATGCTGTTCCATTTTTATAAGCTGTTAAGTCAGAAAATTTCCAAAAAGAAAAGAGCATTAAATTTTAAAGATATAAAAAACAATCTTATGTTGCTCAGTTCTATATATGATTTTGTAATTAGAAAATTTATTTTTGACCAACTGACTTTAGAGGCACAAATTGTAAAAATTAAGGTAGATAATACTTTAAAAATCCATAAAGTATATAAAGCATAACTTGTTGAAAATTAAATGACACATAAAAAGTAACAAAATTATCTCATAGTTCATAAAAATTATCCCCAAACCTCCCCAGATTATCATAAATAAAAGTGCTAAAAGGCATATATATTTCCAAGTTGCTTCATGATGTACACACAAAAGTACAATCCACCAAAAACGAATGACAGTAAATATTCATTATTGACAAGTTCCTATAAAGAGTAGCCCTGTGGTGTGAACAGACTTTCTTGACTTTTTTCCCCAATCAGGTTGTTAACTTCCTAAAGGACCCCATCTTTCACCTCTTCATGTATCCATAGTCTTTATTGAGTTACTAGTCCAGTACTCTCAAGACACATGATCAGTGGTCAGTACAGATCTGTTGAACAAATGTTTATCCCATTTGTATTGCCTTTCCCTACCATCATAGGCAACACATGTGAATTAACCTATAAATATCACTGTCTTTAGTGTTGTTTCATTAACTAATTAATCATTCATAATTTTTTACATCAAAGATTGAGAAATAATTTGGCTGTTTTTAATTATATCAGTCTCATTACAGCCCATGAGACTCTACAGAAAAGATTGGTTGATTTGTACAGTAAAATTCACAATTACATAAATTACATAAATGTCAGATCACAATGAATAAAAACAATTATGGCCAGGTGTAATGGCACCTGCCTATAATCCCAGGAGACTAAGTCAGGAGCATCTTAAATTCAAGGCCAGCCTCAGCAACCTAGCAAGACCCCATTTCAAAATAAAATTTGAAAAAAACTGAGAATATAGCTCAGTGGCAAGCACCCCTGAGTTCAATCCCTGAACCACACACACAAAAAAAATGTGAATTTTACTATACAGATCTATCTATACAAGTTATGTATATAGCTCTTACTGAATAAAAAATATCTTTAGTACTAGGTCCAACAGTAACTTCTTTGGGGGAGGGATACTGGGGATTGAACTCAACTACTGAGCCACATCCCCAGCCCAATTTTGAACCTTTTATTTAGAGGGTCTCACTGTGTTGCTTAGTGCCTTGTCATTGCTGAAGCTGGCTTTGAACTTGAGATTCTCCTGTTTCAGCTTCCCAAGCAGGATTACAAGTGTGTATCACCATGCCCAGTGTAACTTTTTTTTTTAATGGTACTGGGTATTGAACCCAGGGGCACTCTACCACACTGAGCTATATCCCTATCCTTTTTTAGTTTTTATTTTGAGATAGGGTCTTGCTAAATTGCCCAGGCTTGCCTTGAACTTGCAGTCCTCCTGCCTCCTTAGTCTCTGGAATTATGGGTGTACACTATCACACCTGGAACCAGCAATAACATATAACATTAAAAATGTTATAGGACATTTATGCTTATTATACATTAAACTTGAATGAGTAAATGACCTGGATCCTTCTGAGGGATTCTTTTTAAGAAATATATACATTAATATATTAAGTAGAAGCTCATTATGAGTTATAATTTCTTATTAATTATTCCCAGTTTTACTTTTTAAAATATTCTACATTTTAATCTTTTTCTATTACATAATATATCAAATCATAGATGTAGGTGTCAAGCAACACATTTTTATTATTAATATGTTCTGAAAATCCACTTAGAAAATTATGTTAGAAAATACTCTTACCTTTGATATTATCCTTGAATTTTGTACGTGTTTGCCTTGGGCATAAATAACATGTTATTCCAATCCACACTGAAAGTTGAAACCATCTCTTTTTACTTTTTACTTTTTACCCTTTTAAAAAATATTAGTGCTTTAAATGTCTGGATTCTTACTTTCCATGTTGTGTAAGAATGACAAATGGTTGGGGGGATTTGTGTTTTTTTTCTTGAGCCTCTCTCTAGTGACCTGGGCAGTTTGCATGGTTTGCCAGGAAACCACAGTCCCCCGATCTCTGACAGAACCCCCCATGTGGCCACTGTCCTCAGACAGCTCCTGGAGCTTGTGGATAAGCACTGGAGTGGCTCTGGCTCCCTCCTCCTCAACAAGAAGTTTCTCGGTGAGTTAGTGCATTTGCAGTTCCTGGAGGAGAACTGCATCTTACTTCTGCTCTGTTCTGCTAAGTCACTTAGACCCTTAATTTGCAAGGAAAATTGTTCTTATATATAAAACATCTCAAAAATACCATAGTTAACAAATATGCATTTTTCTTACATTTGTCTTCCCCACATATTAAAAATCAAGCACTCTTTCCAGTTGTTTTGTAGCAACTGTTTTGTTCCTCCTGTGATGTCTGTGTGTGAGTGTGTATGTGTGTGCACACACATGCTCACACATGTAGGCTTTAGTAATATATAGAATGACCAGATATGTAAATTGAGAATGGTCATGCTAATAATTGCAAAAATATTTTATGATCCTTGGGAAAGTGCCAGTAATGAATTCAACAGAAATTAGGTTTGATCATCAGAATTCTGAGATGACTGTTTAAATTTTATGGTTTGAAAAACTTGAATGAGTAAATGACCTGGATCCTTCTGAGGGATTCTTTTTAAGAAACAGGGGGAAAGCAGTTTTGCAAATTTTGACTTCATGCATTTGTTGTTTAATGAAAGAAGAATTCAAGGAAATTTGGGTGTTAATAAAAGTTGAAGTGAAAACTAGAAACTTGAAATTTGTTTAGGTTGGAAAAACTTTTTTTTCTTAAATTTCTAAGGGCTGGGATGTAACTCAGTGGCAGAGTGTTTGCCTAGTTTACATGAGACCCTAGGTTCAATCCCCAGCACTGAATTTTTTTTTTTCCTAAAGGGACACGTGGGAGAAGAAACCCTAGCCCAATCATTTTCCTTCCCAAGTTGACCCATTGTTCTCATATGGTAGGAAATCATGCCCTGGAGCCATGAATCACTGACTTGAGAGTAGTGCACTCAGGAAGGAAGGGTTGTTGCTGGTCCTCCACAGAGGACATGGGATTTAATATTTTAGCCTTCACAAAACACCTCTTACAACTACTTAACCAAATTATTGTAAAAAGGAGATAGTTACATTACAAAGCTGGGGGTTATGACTGGAAATTCTGTGCTTTAGCCTTTAAGATTGGCCCATGTACCCAACCTGAATTTTTGCAGGTCCTGCTCGAGATCTGCTTCTGTCTTTGGTAGTCCCAGCTCCCCCTCCTCAACAGTGGTGTTGCTCACATCCTGAAGACCCATCCTCAAAAGCCTTCCACAGGAGGGACAATGAACTGAAGGAGGCTGGGCTACTCGTCCCTAATGATATGGTATGGCTCTCTTGTATTTCTACCTCCTCTTCCTTAACTAAAAAAGAATTGAGCAGCAGGATTAGAATGGCTCTAAGACCCAAAGATTATCATCATTAGGAACACCTAAACACTGTGCAGCCAACATAGAAAAGTCAGGCTGGATGACAAATCAGAAACACAAATCTTTCCATAGGGACAACTTGAAAGTTCTCCAAGAATGACTTTCTCATCCTGGCCCTAATAAAAAAATTTTGAAGAAATACTTGAAATGGGAAGGGGGAGTGAACAAAAACCCTAGAGTGAAAATATTTAGGACCATGATCTTAAAGTTTATGGCTTGAGCAAAATGAAGGAAGGCAAATGTCTCTGTCTTTCCTCCCTTCTGATAGAGCTGAGAGCATAGAACCAGGGTTCATGCTAGAGCATCAGGTTGCTGACTCTGGGAAAGGAAGAAGAAACTCACATCCCCAAGCCTTTATCTCTATTCTTAACATTAGAGGATTTTCAGGCACCAAGTTCAGTTCTAGAAACTTTAGATGACTCAGAATGCTAGCCACTTGTCAAAATGATCACTTGTTTAGCAAGAGTGGTGGGTAAATCATAGGAAAGATCAGGACTCCATGTGATTGATTTGTTTGCTGCATGTCAGCTATGTTTGCCAATGAATTAAATTAGTGATAAAGTCATACAGATGCTGACCTTCATTCATTTTATCACTAAAGGAAAAGATTCTTTCAATCCTCTAAAATCACTACTCAGGATATCAGATTCTTAATATGTTGGTATTCTGTTTTCTGATCAAAAGGAAAGTTTGAAGCAAAAACTGGTCAGAGTGCTAGAGGAAAACCTCATTCTGACAGAAAAAATTCAGCAGTTGGAGGAAGGTGCTGCCACTTCAATTGTGAGTGGACACCAGTCTCATACTTATGGTAAGTCATGTGTGGGACTTCTCAAGCCAACTGCTATAGATGACCCATTTAATAAGCTTCACCAGCCAAAGTTCATGTGGCTGCCTTTGACTTACTTGGTCATTGCTTTTCTTGGGAGTTAGTGGAAACATCCTGATTCAGAGAGGTGTATTGCAAGGGGCTTGGGCTACCAGATAAAGCTCTTCGTCAGTGCAAAGCATGCACAAATGTTATTATTGCTGTTATTTTTGACAATGCTACTTGCTTTTGTGATTATAGAAGTATAATGTGTTTTCTACAGAAAGTTTGGAAAATACAAGGACAGTATAACCCTGTGACCTAGCAATAATTATCACTGGTGTTTTGTTAATTTACCTCTATACATGTATGTTTAATTAGGAACTTTAAATTGTGTTCTGATATCTTAAAGAATAATTTACAGGGTGTGGTTTAGTGATAGAGCACTGGCATGTACAAGGCCCTAGGTTCAACCCCCAACACTGCAAAAAGTTTTTTTGTTAATTTACATCCAACAAAACACACATTTTTTTAAACTAGGTATTGAACCCAGGGGCTCTTTACCACTAAGCTACATCCCCATCCCTTTTTATTTTTTTTCTTTTAAGACAAGATCTTGATAAACTACTGAGAGGGAGGTTCCCTAACTTGCCATGACTGGCCTCAAACTTTCAGTCCTACTATGTCAGCCTCCTGAGTCACTGGGATTATAGGCATGCACCACTGTGCCCAACAAAATGCACACATTTTAAGTTTGATCCTACTCATATCACAGAACATATCACAGAAAGTTCCCTCATGCCCCTTGTACAGTTTCCCACATTCTCTACCCCAAGAAATCACAGACCTGGTTTTTATACACTAATGTTACTAATTTAATGGCATAGGTAGTTCCTATGGTATCACATGAATATACTGTATTTATCTACCTAATCCTTTGTATAGTTGTTTCTGATGTTTGTTTTTGTTATAAATATAGCTGCCATTACTTATAATAATAGTTATATAAATAATATACAGAGAATATAAGTAATTCTGAAGTGTTTCCAAACATTCAGAAGAAAGAACTAAAGTGGAAGAAGTAATCCTAGAATGAAAATGTTTCTTCTCAATCATCTTTCTTCCCTTCTGATGGAGTTAAGAGACCTAATATTTATACATTCATAACTAATGCTGCTATTCATGTATAATATACACAAATCTTTGTGTACATTTATTTTCTTACAATATTTTCCTAGGGGCTGGGGTTGTGGCTCAGTGGTAGAGCGCTTGCTTCACACATGTGAGGCACTGGGTTCGATCCTCAGCATGACATAAAAATGAATAAACAAAATAAAGATATTAAAAAAAGAATATTTTCCTAGAAGTAAAATTAGTGGGTCAAAAGATGTGGACATTTCTTGAGACTTTTATTACATATTGCCAAAAAAGGTGCTTTCAGTTTACACGTGCATCAGCAGTGTGCTCCAATGCTCTTTTATTCCATCTTTGCAAACACTGAGCATGTTTTTAGCTTTGTATTGTTACACGTGAAAAATAATATCCCATTTAAGTCTTGATTATATTACTTTATTACTAGCATATTTTAAGCCAGTTTTTTTGTTTTACTTTTTTTTTCTTCTTTTTTTGGTGTGTGTGTGTGTGTGTGTGTGTGTGTGATACTGGGGATTGAACCCAGGGCACTCCAGTGCTGAGCTTTATCCCAGCCTTTTTAATTTTTTTTTCCCAAGAAGGTTTTGCTAAATTTCTGGTTTTCAATTTGCAATTCTCCTGCCCCAGCCTCCCAAACTGCTGGGATTACAGGCATGCACCACTGTCAGCTAGGCCAATATTTTAGATAAAGTGTGCCCTCCACTTTAAACCTCCAGTTCAGCTTCCCTAAGCAAATTAGAGCCATTCAGACTGTCATGAAGAACTTTATTTGGAAGCACTGAATTTCCATTGCTAAATCCCAGCACAGTCTGATACTCAGAAGCCTGAATAATTGAAACATAACCCCATTTATCTACTCTGAAAATGTAAGTAGGTATTTGTCCACAGGTCTTTACTTTCAATCAGCTAGGGGGCCTGTTTCAGTATTTTGGCTAATTCTGGTGATGAGCACAGTTGCTGTAGTCCTGTTTTCTACCTTCCAGAACTGTCCTATCTCAAATTGTGATCCACATTTGTATTACCTGGCAGCTTATTATGCCATATATTGGGCCTCTTCTCAGACCTACTGAATCAGAATCTATTTTTATTCTCAAGCATATGAACATTAGGAAGTATTGTTCTAGAAACTGGCCTCAGTTCCTGAGCTTTTGCCTACTTCGTTATTATAGGCAGTCATACAATTTAGGGAGGTAGAGATGAGTGTCTCAGCTACAATTCCATTTCTGCAAACATTCATTGAATCATTACTATGTGTCTGACAGTTCTAGATGTTTTCACAAATTACATGTGGAGTAGAGGTCATACAAATGGAGAATATAATACTTATTGACTGCTTAGGTGAAGTGAGGACAGGTGTCTCACTGAATCCTTAAAGTGGTGCTGTAGGGCAGGGTTATTTCCTCTAGTGAAGCTCAGAAAGATGAATTAACATGTTCAAAATTAAGTAGTTAAATGTTAATTCAGATCTGTTGCCAAACTCCATGTTCTTCACACCATAACTCCTGTGTGAATGGAATATGGAGGTGAGTGCCATGGGGCACTCAATTGTCAAAATGACCATTTGAATATGTAAACTCTTATCAAAGGTAAGTAGCTTGGAATCCTGCTCACCCGGCTACTGTACTCTTTGTAGATGATCTTGTGCGCAAAAACCAACAGTTGACTATGCAAGTGGCTTGCTTGAACCAGGAGCTTGCCCAACTGAAAAAGCTGGAGGAGACCGTTGCCCTTCTTCATGAAAGTCAGAGGTAGGCGAGTTTCTGTCTAGTGGTTTCTGGAAGCAGATGTTTACTTCTCTTTATCTCCTTTGCTTTGTTTTTAATGATAATATCTATGAAATTTACAAATTAACTCTAGTGTTTGTGTAAACCTCTTGTTCCTGGCCAGTTAGCTCAGGGATCAAAGTACTGCTTTTGGTGCTGTTCTTATACACCAGGGACTAAAGATCTTTGCTGACATTGGTAGGTTGCAGCATCCCAATAATTAATTTCTTACTGGTTTTAACAGGGTTAACTTCTTTGGGGTCAGCTAACTTTCTTCACTATACCCCCTAAAATCAGTCATCTGGCTCCTCTGGAAAATGCCTTCCTGCTATTGGTCACAAAAGATGCATCAAGAGCACTCAGTAGAGAGTGATAGGGAAAGAATCCAAAGTATGTGTCTTCTTCAGAAGCACTCAAAAGAGTCAGCATCTTCACAGAAGAGTACCCTTGGATGCAGACCAAGAAACACCTGAGAAGACCTCAAGGCCACTGCCTTGGCAGCTCTAGGGAAGCCCTTGAAGTCTTTATTTACCAGTCTACCTCTACTAGGACTTTGAATGACATTTAAATACAAGCACCCCACTCCCAAATCTTCAGCTCCAAGCTTTATCACTCTTTTGTTGAAATAGCTTCATATCCAGAGGATTAACCCCCCACTTCTGGGTGGATTTTTTTCATTATATGCATTTATATGTGGGTTGGAAACCAAGAATATGCATTTCCAGTAAGTTTTCAGGTGATACTGTTGCTGCTGATCTGAGAACTACATTTTGAGAGCATAGGGTATCTCATTTGGGTATGTATAGTCAAAATAGTGTATTTTAAATTAACTTGAAACAATTTTTCTGTGTATTGGTCCCATTAACTCAGTGTACAAGTTCACTTATTTCATTTTGGTTTTGATTCTTAGGGATTTTTTTTATTTAATCTTATTTGCATAATTATGTAAAATATTTCTATGTGGCCCCAAAAATCAAATATAAAATAATATAAATTCAGAAAAATCTAGACACTTTTTTCTGTCTCCTCTATCCTTTCCTTTCCTCCCACTGGCATTTTATTGTGGATGGTAGCATTTGTATTCCCCCTTAATTATATAAAAAGAAGCATAATATTGCTTTAACATTTTTATCTTAGAAATAAGTTCACATTAGTCTATGGAGCTCGTTTTCATTCCTTTGTATAGCTGCATAGTACTCTAGTGTGTGGTTGTAGTTTATTTGACTGTCATCTAGTAATGTCTGTGGATATTTTGGTTAGCCATGTTTGGCTGTTAAAAAATGGTACCATCGGGGCTGGAGGTATGGATCAGTGGTGGAATGTGTACTTAGTTATTTGAGGCCCTGTGTTCAACTCCCAGCACCAAAAATAAAAACAAACAAAATAGTACTATAATGAACAGCTTTGTGTATATACCTTTTTTTTTCTTTGCCAGTGTGTGGATGACTTTCAACATTACTTGATAATACAGGGTTCAGAAATACAGGATGGCATCATTGTTGGTTGCAGAGGCAGGACAGAATAGAAAAAGAAGTTATGATTTGGAGAGTGCGTAGAAATTGAGGCCTGATCAGGAGCCAGTGTCCTACTTACCTCATCAGGAAAGTTGTTTTGAAAACAGTATAACAGACACTCTATAAAATGTGAAATATATTATTGCTTTAATCAGTCTGGAACACAATCAGAATTGTAATGAAGAAACTGTACATTTGCTTTTAAAATAACCCACTTACAAATTTGACGATTCTGTTGAAAGATGATACTTCATTTTACATTTATCTTTAGCACACATTTCAGACCCAAATGGCATCTACTTTGCTTTTGTGATTTCATGACTGTCTTTCCCCCTCTGGGTCTCAGATCCCTGGTGGTAACTAATGAGTATCTGCTGCAACAGCTGAATAAAGAGCAAAAAGGTTATTCCGGGAAAGCACTCCTGCCTTCTGAAAAAAGTCATCATCTGGGGACATCATCGCCCTTTGGGAAAAGCACATTGTCTTCTTCCTCACCAGTGGCACATGACACGGGTCAGTATCTAACACAAAGCATCTCAGAAACTGTCCCAGATCCTAATTTGTGGAGCTAGCACTGAACACCTTCACTGTCTACTCTCACATATCGATGGAGGGCTTGCAATGTCTTTGCCACCAGCAAAATATTAAAAAAAAAAAAAGCTTATTCTGATTACATTGTATTGTCCCTTCTTTTTATTTCTCTATGTCCTCCCCTTGAATCATTTTTTTTCCTTCTGCCCACAGAAATTGCATCATGTCACACAGAGGCATTTGACTGAAAATGTCAAAAAGGAAAAAACACTGGACACTTCCCCCAGTGTCATTTGATATTGTGTAGTAGAAAGTCATAAAAGAACATCCATCAAATATATTTTGTGCTAAAAGAAATTTTAGAGACTCTATATTTATGGATTCACCAAACACATTTGGAGTTTGTTGGCCCTGGAGTAGCCCATGATTTGTTTAGTCAGGAATAAAGCACAAACTCATGCTGGTCTGGGGACAGCATTAAGGTATTATCTTTTTGGTAATGCATAGTCAAAGTTATGTATTTTAAATTAACTTGAAACAATTCTGGAACTTGAAGCTTTGAATTAGGACCAAACAGGTCTATACAAAAACCCTGAAGAGGGCTGGGGATGTGGCTCGCGCGCTCGCCTGGCATGCGTGCGGCCTGGGTTCGATCCACAGCACCACATACAAACAAAGGTGCTGTGTCTGCCGAAAAAACTAAAAAATAAATATTAAAACTCTCTCTCTCAAAAAAAAAAAATTAAAAAAAAAAACCCTGAAGAGAAAGATGCCCCAGAGAAAGAGAGTAAGGAATCCCAGCATGGGGAAGGCCACGGCCAGGATTAGTGTGTGAGTGGGAGCTGACAGAAGAGTAGGAGGGGAGCAGAATGAAGGGATGCAGCGCCTCAGGAGTGCAGAGTCTGGAGCACTCAGAGGGATTCTGGGGCAGGGTCCGAGGTGGGACATGATTCCATGAGAGTGTAAGAGTGGCAATGAGTCATAGCCTAGGAAATGTAATGTTAGGAATATGTCCCCAGAGGACATTCAACTGAGACCTCAGAATAAGTAAGAGGTACCTGGGAATAAGTAAGAAGTTACTAGACTAGGCAAAGCATAGGCCAAGAGCAAAAGCAATGAGAGAAGCTGCAGAGAAGTAATACATACACAGGCCTTGAAGGAAAGGGGTAAGAAGAAGGTAGTAGGAGTGAGGTCATGTGGCTCCTGGAAGATTTTAGATTAGAGAGGCCCAGGAGTAGGGGCTTGAGTGAGGCTTTCTCTGTGAGAAGAATGGATTGGCAATGATGTGGCACAAGGAAGAACCCCAGAGGAACTAGATAACAGAGACACAGCTTCTGAGTGTGCCAGCGTGGGCTCAGTGTCCATTTCACATACAAGTATACTGTATTTCTTTAATTCTGATCCATTAGGCATTTAAAACCTCAATGGGGAAAATGGTTCAAGTTATATTTCTGCTTCAGACTTCTCCCAAGTAGCTTATGTTTTCAGAGAGGGTATAGGGTGAATGACTGTCAACTTAATGCCATGTTATACTTCTCTTCACCTTCAGGGCCACATCAGAGAAAGAGGTGGGTGGAAGGATTAGATAATCTTTTGTGCTTGGACTCTGGTGCTGTGCAGGGAAGGAGGCTTATTGCCATACTAATGAGACATGAAGATCCCACATTTCCTAGTTGTAAATAAAATCTACAGATCTCCAGATTGTACATGGCTTCCCAAGAGGCAGCTGTACAGAGGAGCTGTACATATCTTTGACCTGTGTGCTCCAAGGGAACTAGTGTGAGTTTGTGCTCTGTGGAAATGACAAAAGAGCCTCTTTTCCCCACCCTGCCACTTTTCTGGGCCTGTCCTTGTCCCATTGAGAAACTATCAAAGAGCCTAAGCTGGGGCTGGGGATGTGGCTCAAGCAGTAGCGTGCTCGCCTGGCATGCGTGCGGCCCGGGTTCGATCCTCAGCACCACATACAAACAAAGATGTTGTGTCCGCCGAAAACTAAAAAAGAATAAATATTAAAAAAAAAAAAAGAGCCTAAGCCTTGCCCAGGAAGGAGAGCATTGTCTATTGACTTCACAGCCCTGTGTTGTCACATTTCAGGGACTTAGGCCAGGCATAGGCCAACCTGCTAGTCAGACCCTTAGAGGAGAAATAATACACTTCTTTCTACTGCCCCGGGCTTTCCTGCATCTGGATGAGCATCTGATAATGGCAGACTCAGAATCTACTCAGGGCACCTCTAAAGAGAAGCAAAGAGCCTAATCCAAACTAAATCACCTTCTACATCATTACCCTTTGTCACAGAAAGTAGCTGGCTCTGACACAAGCTGGCACCTCTTCTGGCTGCTGACTGCTCCTGGGGAATTTATTTCTGGTTCTGATTTTCCCTGTGTGGTACAGTCCTGAGGGCAGGGGTAAAGACTGGGCTGTCAAGAGAAGGGCCAAGGAATTGTTGCCCTGTGGGGCTAACTGAAGCCAACATTCAGCCCTGCTTTTAAAAATCAGTATTGGGGCCTGATGTGTTAAAAGGCATGAGGCATGAAGAGAGTGAAAAACAAGAGTTTACCACCCAAGTCCTCTGGAGAGAGGCACAGCCACCCCAACAGGCCTACACTACCCCTAGCTATACAGAAGCATTATTATTTTTTTAATTTGCAATACTGGGGATTGAACTCAGTGGTGCTTCTACCATTGAGATGTGTCCCCAGCCCTTTCTAACTTTTATGTTGAGGCGGGGTCTCACTAAATTGCCAAGGCTGGTCTCAAACTTGCAATCCTCCTGCCTCAGCCTTCTGAATCTCTAGGATTACAAGCATGTGCCACAAAGCCCAGCTCAGAAAGATTTTAACTCTCCATCCTATAAAACCTCCCCTCCCTTCCTTGTATGCCTAGCCTTGCTAGTAAGGGTACCCAAGGCTTTCCACCATAAGGAGGCTATGAGGGGGAAGAACACAATGCCAGGGCAGCAGTGGTATTGTTCACCAATGGCTGCCCTGCACCAGATTCTGTGAGCCCCATTTGGTTTTTAAGGATCTTCCTGGCCCTGAGTGGCCTTGATCTCTCCCAGGCTCCATGAAGCTTTTCAAGAAGCACAAGGGCTTTACTCCAAGGTAGAGTTTGGGGGCTCAGCCAGTTCTCTCTGGGTTCCTCCAAGCCAGTCATAGTAATGGACAGGTTGCTTCTCCCCTCCATACGGGCTGGTTCAAGTAGCTGGGAGGGTGACTCAGTTTGAATACAGGTAAATTCAGGTTGCTATGAGAGTATTTTGGTAAGTTAAAGCCAGAAGGGGTTGGGTTCCCTGCTGTTACGCTCACTGTGGTAAAACTTCCAATTCAGATTTCCCAAGGCTAGAAGGGATCACTCCTCTACTGCTTGCCAGCGGGAAAGGTAGAGGGAGGGAAGGTGGACAGCCCAGTGAGGAGGAGCCTGCTGCTTACTGCTGGCTGGGAGACAAGGCTCTGCAGAGGTCAGGTGTCAATTCGTGCCCTCAGCTTCCCACTTGAACTCCAGCTTCTCTGTCTGAGACACACTATTTCTCTACACCCCATCCCCAAGTAGTTGGGCTTTAGGGATTTCAGTGCCACCTAAAGCAGGAACAAACTGTGGGATGAGGGAATAAATAATTGCACCGTTTTCATTGTACCAGAAATAGGGCATGTGCTCATGAACATGTGCATTTCAAGCCTTTTCTAGAACCCTTGGGATCTGCCCTCTCCTAGGTAGGCCCTAGGTACCATCAGTCCTCTTGTCACAGCCGAAAAGAAGAGAGTTGGTGCCAAAGCCGTGGGCTTAGGAATAGTTCTGGCCCAACACCCAGAACTTCATGATCTGGAAACATCCAAGAGCCCTCAGAACCAGAGGCCCTACCCATTCGGCCAGAATGGTGAATACATGGGAGGGAATCAACAAGAAAAGGCCCCTTCACTGTGGGACACCCTCTCTCTACCTCCTACCTCTGCCACAGGGCCAGGCTCTGTTACTAGCCATTCAGCCCTACTTTTAAAAATCAGTATTGGGGCCTGATGTGTTGAAAGGCATGAGGCAAAAGGCATGGTTGGGCCTCATCTGCAGAAACACTTTCCTTCTCTGGGCCTCAGTTTTCCTGGCTATAAAATGAGGAAGTTAAATTATGTACTCTCTAAGGTTCCTCCTGGCTCTGGATTATCTGAGATTTTCATATGGATCCCCAAATAATTTGCCTTGGTAGCCCCCAGTTGGTAGGCTTAGAGCCGAGGCCTGGTCCCAGGGTTTCTGCCAAGACTTGGCCTAGGCCAAGTCTGCTATCTCATCCCTCCTCAGGCTGTGCAAGTGGAGAGGGGCCAAGTCTGCATACTAGGCAACTGCAGGGAGGCAAGCTTTGAGGTCAGGATTCAGGGTCAGGGCCCAGTTAAAAGGCTTTGCATTTCCCTGAGGGACATCTCTGGTAGTCTGGCTCTTTGGAAGGGGACTCCTGTGTCTCTCTCTTTCTGGGTAGGCTGCCAGTGAATGGAGGGAGACCCCATAGGATGTGTATGCAGCAGAATGATGATACTGAGGGCAGTACTTGGGTGTGAATGTCATCATGTACCCAACCAGGCCAATTGGTACAAAAAGTGTCTTTATTGAGGTCTGGGTAAGAATTAGGCACTTGGCCAGAGCAGCAGCTTAAATATGAGGCAAGCAGGCAGAAGTCAGCCATGCCTAGGACCAGGTTGGGGTGGTGAGGCTATAGGCACAGGATTCCTTAGAAGTTGGAGAGGCAAGAGGAGGAGGAAGAGGGACACAGAGTAGTCTGGGTCAGAGGGCTGGTAGGCTGGCCTCATGGGGCTG